CATAGTCGCCAGCTGGCCGTCTATGGCCGAGAGACTATGAGGCGGCTTTTCGCATCGAATATTCTTATTTCTGGGATGCAGGGTCTTGGAGTTGAGATTGGTATGAATTTTCAAAACTTAAATGTTCTTTGTATCCTTTCTTAATTTTTGAAACAAATTTGATTTGCCCTTATCTATCTGCAATCATAATTGCTTTTCCTTATGTGTGGAGATAGATCCTGTTTGTAGTTACATCGAATGGTTGTTCCCAATCATGAATTTAGGGTTTTAAAGTTATGTCTTGTTCATGATGATTTCTGTTGATGGGTCGATTCTCTCTCTAAATTTGCCTATGCAAACATTGGTATTTGAGTTTCTAAATGATCGCTGTATGGTTGTTGAACGGGTGGATGAAAAGGTGAGGGAAATCCGTGTGGTATGAGCGTAAAATTATGCCATGACTAATCAATCTATGATTTATAAGGAATGTCCGATCTCAATCCCCTGGTTAGAATTCTTTTTGGTTGTCTTATGTGATGTATATTTGATGGTTATAGGTTGATGCTGTGCCTTAATTCATGAGGGATTGGGTGTTGATGTGCTAGATTTGTTCTGTGGTTTGTTTTTGCAGCATTATATCTGATATTCTCACTGACTTTTATGTGTTATTATTGTGCAGCAAAGAATCTCATTCTTGCTGGTGTCAAGTCTGTGACGTTGCATGATGAGGGGGTGGTGGAGTTGTGGGATTTTTCCAGTAACTTTGTGTTCTCTGAGAGTGATATTGGCAAAAACAGGGCTCTTGCTTCTGTGCAGAAGTTACAAGAGCTTAACAATGCTGTGATCATTTCCACCTTAACAACAAAATTAACTAAGGAACAACTTTCTGACTTCCAGGTATTTCCTCATCTTTGAGTCTCGATTCATAATTGCTTACCTTGTCATTTTTGAAGTAGTAAAGGTTAACTGAATTTTGAATTGCTTCATTATGTTTTGTAACAAACCTAGAGAAATCATGCTAAGATTGATTATCATCATCTCAAAATTCCACAAATTTTCCCTATCTCAGTTATGAATAAAACTAAATTGAGCTAGTTTTAAGCTGGGAAAAGATGGGATATGAAGGAGAGCTCTGGAAAGTGTGTTTATACTATAAAAAATGTTTTAATTTGATCTAAAATCTTGCTCTATATTGCATGTGTATTTTGGTGATTTGCACATTTTCTGCATATTCCATCACATAACTCATCATCCCTGTTTTGCAGGCTGTTGTATTTACTGATATCAGTTTTGAGAAAGCCATTGAGTTCAATGATTACTGTCATAATCATCAGCCTCCTATCTCTTTCATCAAGGCTGAAGTTAGAGGTCTTTTTGGTTCCATATTTTGTGATTTTGGACCCGAGTTCACTGTAGTTGATGTCGATGGAGAGGATCCTCACACAGGTATAATTGCGTCCATTAGCAATGACAACCCAGCTCTTGTATCATGTGTTGACGATGAGAGGCTTGAGTTTCAAGATGGGGATCTTGTTGTCTTCTCTGAAGTTCATGGAATGATAGAACTAAATGATGGAAAACTGAGGAAGATTAAGAATGCAAGGCCATATTCATTTACTCTTGAGGAGGATACCACCAATTTCGGTACATATATAAAAGGTGGTATTGTTACACAGGTGAAACAGCCCAAGGTGTTAAATTTTAAACCATTAAGAGAGGCTCTCAAAGACCCTGGTGATTTCCTGCTTAGTGATTTCTCAAAGTTTGACCGTCCACCTCTGTTACACTTAGCATTCCAAGCACTGGATAATTTTGTCTCTGATATGGGACGCTTCCCAGTTGCTGGTTCAGAAGAAGATGCCCATAAACTTATTTCTATTGCTGGTAACATTAATGAGAGCTTGGGAGATGGAAGGGTGGAAGATATCAACCCGAAACTTTTGCAACACTTTGCCTTTGGTTCCAGGGCTGTACTGAATCCCATGGCTGCCATGTTTGGTGGAATTGTGGGACAAGAGGTTGTCAAAGCATGCTCTGGAAAATTTCATCCCCTCTTTCAGGTTGGTATTCGTTATTCTTTTTGCAAATTGCTTTCTGTTGGAGTGGTTAATTTAGAATTTACACCCACTCACCCGTATGCATGCATTTTTGGAATTAAAATGAATCATAATGTGCTTTTGAGCAATGCTCTTTGGGTAGGAAATTATAAGTTTAAGTTTTTTGAAGTAGCATAGAAGAGGAAAAGGAGGAGCTTTGTTTTTAAAAATTTAACCCAAGTCATCTGAAAAGAAAGGTGTTAGACTTAAAGTTCTGATGGAATACCTTGAATTGTGGCTCAAACATCTTTTTACAGTCACTTACCCTCCTCATCCTCCTTTTCCCTTCATTGTTACTGTCTCAAAGACTTGAAAACAAGAGTTTATGACTTTCTCTTTAGAGTTCATTGAAACTTATTCAACTTTTTTTTTTCGTCTGTTGTACTAATCTTCTATCATTTGATTCTACAGTTCTTTTATTTTGACTCGGTGGAGTCACTTCCTACCGAGCCTCTGGACCCTAGTGATTTCAGACCATTAAATAGCCGATATGATGCACAAATTTCAGTGTTTGGGTCCAAGCTCCAAAAGAAACTGGAGGATGCAAAAGTGTTTATGGTGGGATCTGGTGCACTAGGTTGTGAGTTCCTAAAAAATATTGCTCTGATGGGAGTTTCATGCGGTGGCAAAGGAAAGCTTACCATCACTGATGATGATGTAATTGAGAAGAGCAACCTCAGCAGGCAGTTTCTCTTCCGGGATTGGAATATTGGGCAGGCCAAATCCACGGTTGCTGCTTCTGCTGCAGCATCAATAAATCCTTGTTTAAATATTGAAGCTTTGCAAAACCGTGTGGGTCCTGAAACTGAAAATGTGTTTGATGATACCTTCTGGGAGAATTTAACTTTGGTTGTTAATGCATTGGATAATGTCAATGCCAGGCTTTATGTTGATCAGAGGTGCTTATATTTCCAGAAACCACTTCTTGAGTCTGGAACCCTAGGTGCTAAATGTAACACACAGATGGTTATTCCTCACCTAACTGAAAACTATGGTGCTTCAAGGGACCCACCTGAGAAACAAGCTCCCATGTGCACTGTGCACTCATTCCCTCACAATATTGACCATTGTTTGACATGGGCTCGCTCTGAGTTTGAGGGTCTACTTGAGAAAACTCCAGCTGAAGTGAATGCTTATTTGTCCAGCCCAGTTGAGTATAAAGCTGCACAAAGGAATGCTGGGGATGCTCAGGCAAGAGATAATTTGGAGCGTGTTCTTGAATGCCTTGAGAAAGAAAAGTGTGAGACATTCCAGGATTGCATCACTTGGGCTCGTCTAAGGTAATTATTTTGATGTTTGATCTAATTTTATGTTTATGGTTGAAAATAGTGTCTTTGTTTCATTTGCTTCTGACTTCGTACTTCTTTTGTGCCCAGATTTGAAGACTATTTCGTTAACCGTGTAAAGCAGCTGATTTATACATTCCCCGAAGATGCTGCAACCAGTACGGGGGCTCTGTTCTGGTCTGCCCCAAAACGATTCCCTCATCCACTTCAGTTCTCAGCAGCTGATCCAAGTCACGTGCAGTTTATTATGGCTGCTTCTATCCTGCGAGCTGAAACATTTGGCATTCCCATTCCTGATTGGGTTAAGCACCCGAAGATGTTGGCTGAGGCTGTCGAGAAAGTGATAGTTTCAGATTTCCAGCCGAAGAAAGATGCAAAAATTGTAACAGATGAGAATGCTACTACTCTCTCTACTGCATCTGTGGATGATGCAGCAGTTATCAATGAACTCATCTTCAAGTTAGAGCTTTGCACGGAAAATTTGCAAAAGGGGTTCAAGATGAAACCTATTCAATTCGAAAAGGTTTGTCTTATTTTTAACTTGTTCTGATACATTTATTATGTTTATTTTTTGGGCCTTTTCACCTCTTTATTATATAAATTTCACTTATTTAGTTTCATGAGGACTTGAACAAACGAATATTTTTTATTAGGATTATCTCTTGAATTTGCAGGATGATGATACAAACTACCACATGGATATGATAGCTGGGCTTGCAAATATGAGGGCCAGGAACTACAGCATTCCTGAGGTGGACAAGCTCAAGGCCAAGTTTATTGCTGGAAGAATCATCCCTGCAATCGCTACCTCCACAGCTATGGCCACAGGTCTTGTCTGCCTGGAGCTTTACAAGGCTCTGGATGGAGGCCACAAACTGGAGGACTACCGTAACACTTTTGCAAACCTTGCACTGCCTCTGTTCTCTATGGCCGAGCCAGTTCCGCCCAAAGTCATCAAACACAGTGACATGAGCTGGACTGTTTGGGACAGGTGGATCCTGAGAGACAACCGAACTTTGAGGGAACTCATCCAGTGGCTGAAGGATAAAGGGTTGAATGCCTACAGCATATCTTATGGAAGTTGCTTGCTGTATAATAGCATGTTCCCTCGGCACAGAGAGCGAATGGACAAGAAGGTGGTAGATCTAGCCCGGGAAGTGGCAAAGGCTGAATTGCCTCCAAACAGAAAGCACCTGGATGTTGTCGTGGCTTGTGAAGATGACGAGGACAATGATATTGACATTCCTCAGATTTCTATTTACTTCAGCTAGATTTTTTTTCTCAATCCCTGCTGCGTGGGGTTGTGATCTAGGATAAAACTTTCGCAATGGTGTTACATCAATGAGAACACAAAATGGATATTTTTCACAGTAAATTCAAACGTTAACTTCGATTTCCAATATGATAATGACCCCTAATTGATTGGGTTTTGCTTTATCTTGACTTGCTTTACGTCATTAGTGTATTAATCTTCTCATTCATCCAAGGGAAACCCATAAATTGGTTGTATATATTTAGCTTATAAGTTATTTTTGTTATGTGTTAAAGGGGGGGAAGAAAACAGGTGGTCTCGCTGATACATATACACAACTAATTAAATTCGTTACCTGTTGCCTTTCAATTGTAAAAAAAGAATCTGTTTTTCCTGAATGGATTTATTTCACCGTCCTTCAGAAAAAGGATTACTGACAAGTAGTACTACTAATTCATTAAGAAACTGACATTTAGGCAATGTTTTTAAAAGGAATCTACGGTTTAAACTATTCACAACATAAACAGAATCAATGTTTGCAAACCACATAATGGTAAGTGTAGTAATTAATTTTTATCAGCACCTTCATCAAATGCAGCAGAGCTTACAACTCGAAAATCCAGCTGCTTCTGATGCTTCGAGCGCCGGCGTTTATCAAAGTCTTCCCAGCCTTCAAACTATTGAAAGATGGTCTTGATTAGGCAATCTCAAATGACTAAACCTCAAAGGAGGCCCACTTCAGGGAATATAGAAAGAGAAGTACACACCTGACGAAGGACATCCATTGTGATTTCTGTGTTGTGGAGATCCAGTGTTGCGAGCTGAAGACACTCCTTGAATAATGTACAAGGGAGGCATGTTAGCCCATTATTACTAAGATACAATGCCTGCACACACAGTAAGGACAGACAATGCAATAAAATACATGGCTAATAAACATACAATAATTGGTTTTCTCTTGCTCACCTATTTGATCTGCCCTTGTAAATACATATTTTACGAAGGGAAAGCTCAAGAAATGACAACCAACCTTTTGCCAGATGGTATACACACCGGCTTCCCATGTGAATGTCTTGAATGACATTCGTTTGGTGAAAAATTAATCAACCAGGTGGTTGGGGATTTATTTGTGGGGTTCCCATAATGAGCTTAAGCTAGGTAGAGCAAATTAAAAAAAAAAAAGGCAGATAAAACTGACAGAATAAAGAACCTAGAGGGGACCTTTAAATTGTGTAAATTGCCAACTGTCTCTGGCAGCTCTGACAGAAGATTTGCTGAAAGATCAACCTGAAACACATTAAGCAGTTTACTTAAACCATGCACCATACTTGGTGTACAATAGCTTGATTACATTTAAATACAAACGTCAAGAATCCTATACCTCGCTAAGAGAATTACATTCCCCAATACACGCAGGAATAGTGGTTATCCTGAATAAGAAAAAATGAGTAACACCAACAGTAACATAAGTGATTTTATCATGCATAGAAAAGAAGCCTATTTTACAGCCCTTTAATGCATCCTAATCTCAATATTACCTATTATTATTGGCCTTCAAAACTTCAAGCTGAGCCAGAATACCTATTTCATTTGGAAGGGTAGTCAACTTATTGTTGGCGACGTGAAGTTGCCTAAGAGAAGTTAGGAAGCCAAGTGCAGAAGGCAAAGCGGTCAAGCTGCAGATCAAATTTGATTTTAGATATTACATATGCAAGCCCAACCGTGGAGTAAACAAAGTAAACATGATATTAACATTCTATATCTATACCATGGAAATACAGTTGTATTACAAGCAATATAACAAGAAGCGACCTTAGCATTTTCCTACTACATGAAGTTAGTTGAATAGATCATATTGTATCAGTAATAAAGCTCTAACAAGACCATGTCCTCAGGAAGCGTCATAAAAAAGTAAGTCCCCCCCCCCCCCCCCGGCAAGCAATATTACGCAACAAATAACCAGTGAAAGAAAGATAATGAATGTATGTTTTGATCTTGATCCTTGTGAAACAAAAAAGGAACTTTGACGAACCCCTGATAATATCCACAAATGGCTTGTTTTTGGTAAGAGATGGACATTACTATATGTAAATTCGGGTGAATGGTACACATCGGTACTCCAGTGCATTTCCCCCTCTGAGTCAGAATAAATATGTTTTCGAACCCTCTCTTTAAAATTTAAATTGAAAGTGTATGTTCCCGCGCGAATCTCAGCAATCGCTTGTTCTGATTCTACATATTGATTGTTTTGAACTAAAAGAAAACTTTTTGGTGGAATAGTCACCTTATGTATAATATCTTCACTCTCAATAATTACATACACTATCCTACTATTCAACAACCTGAAAACAAAGGATTCTCCATAGCTACTTTAAGCCTCGTATTGGTTTATAAGCTAGCGTTTCCCCCCTAACCCCATCAGAGGGAACCACTCCTCCCCTAATGGAGAGGAGATGAAAGGTAGAGACCCAAGGAAAGTTGAAGTCCCTACTCTATTCCAGCCCTAGCCACTATGAAGAAGTTCGCGGGTTACGAAGGGCTATGAAGAAGCCATGGGTTGAGAACGAGAATTGAACTCTATGAGATTTAATCTCCCATTGTTCCTCAATAGCTCAGCGGTAGAATGGTCGGCTGTTAATTGACTAGTCGCAGGTTCAAATCCTACTTGAGGAGATTTGATTCATTCTGAATCAAATAATTCAGAACGTCAGAATGAAAGGGTTTGCTTTGACTTTTAAGAGTAGGTATAATGCCTAGTACACAGCAATGACCAAAACTCATTAATACCTCAAAGAAAAGGGCTTCAGCAGCAGCAGCTAGCACCTAAAAGGCATGGCTTTCACAACTTTGGATGCAAATTGGACATTTGTTTTATAAAAGTAAACTCTAACCACAAAATACTTTTTTGTAAGCTCTATAGAAGGTTTAGATCAGGTGTCGAAGCATTTTGAGTTGAAAAGGAGAATGTACATTGATAAAGTTCAGTGCTACCTTCTCTCCTTTGTTTATTTATTTTTATTTATGTCTTTAATCTAAAACTTGGCAACATTGTTCTTGCTGGAACAACTGTTCCTACATGTTTTCATAGCAGTGTACATGAAGATTGTGTTTACCAGGCATTGCAAGTAAAATTAGTGGAAAGTACATTGGGATTACAACTTGAATAGAGCAAGAAGAAAGTTGATATCTAAAGGAGAAAAAACTCACTGGTTCTGATTGATGGATAGAACTGTTAGGTACTTCATAGATGTTAGTCCTTCCCAGTGAATGGCTTCATCAGAAATACCATTTGCATTGAGGAACAGTTTCTACAAAGTTTTGAGATTCCCTCGCATTATGTATGAAATAATCTAGAATAAAAATATTCAAGTATCTCAAATAAAATTCCAGGAACACAAAGGAAAAAGGCCTGTTCACCTGAATGGAATTCAAACTGCTGATTTTGCTAGGAACATCTTGGATGCTGTTGTTATTGACATCCAGGACTCTTGCAGAAGATCCACAATCCCATACTTCATCAGGTATGGCCTTACAAAATCCAAACAACAAGAATAATTTGTTCTATAAATGTTAATCAATGTAGGAACCTTGCTTCTTCAATCTATAACTAAAACAACACGAGAATGTGATGAATCATGTTTAAACTATGAAAACAAGCAAAACATCAATTGACTAAAGCAATAAGCCTGAATCATCACAACAAAAAAGGTTATTAAACAAAAATACCTTCAAATTGCAGTCGGCTAATGCTATAACTCCGGTAGCCTTCCATCGTTCCAAACGATTCTTATCCATAGTAATTTCAGTCCTTGCATCGGATTTTTTATAGTCAATTACTGTCCTTGAAATAGGCCGAGTTTGAGCTTCTTTTAGAATAGGACCACCCTGTTCATTAAAAAAACCTTAAACTTAGACAAATTCTTCAATTTGATTCTTTCAATAATCCCTTTAACCCAACAAATTTTCACCCCAGAGAATAAAAAAAAAAAAATCCTTCATGAAAATTTTCATTCTCTTTTTAACTTGAAGCTATAAAAATAAAAGGAGAGATATAATTAAAAGCTAAAAAAAATACCCCTTGGTGCAAACCCTGGGAAGCGATAAGCATAAGCTTAGCTCCATTCATGACCTCCGATTCCTTCAATGTCATTGCGTCCACCAAAAGCTTTCCTTAAATTTCAAACCACCCAAAATTTATAAACTTAAAAAGCACAAATAAATATGGCCAAAAAAAAAAAGAAGACAGAGAGAAGATCGAAACCTTTGAAGATAAGCTTTTGTCCACGGGGAAGAACATTGGTGAGAGGCTGGAGATGAGATTTGAGGTCTTTGATTGTTGAATCCTTCGCTACCGATACTGGTATCGATCTTCCGCTGAACTTCACTATTATGTTAATATTTTCGCTGCTTTCGCCTTCGCCTTTGCTCATTTTTTTTTCTAAAATTTTTTCCCTTTTTTTTTTTTTTTTCCCTTCTGTTCCTTGATCTATTCGATCGTTCGAACTCAAACTCCAACTTAACAAAGGGTGTCGTGTTTGCCTCGGCTTCGTTAAGTAGTTTGGGTAGTTTAGAGGTTCGTAATGACTTTAATGACCTTAATAGTCTTCTTTATTTTTCATTTTACCATATAATTATTTTTTCTCCAAAAAAAAATCGAAGATAATTATCTTTTATTATATTTAATTAGTATCTAAAAATGAAATACGATTTATAAGAAAGATTAATTATTTTTTTAATATAAAATGATTTAATTTTTTTAAAATAAAAAAATTATTTTTAATTTATAAAATTAAACGTATATATCTTATTATATTTTAAAATTTATATAAATAATTTAAATTATATAAATTTTGATGAAAGATAATTTTAATTAATAAATAAATTATTTTATATTAATTTTTGTACATATTAAATATAAGATAAGATAATATTATTTAATTTAATCATATTCATAATATCATTTTATCCTATTACTTTAAAATCTTATATATATAATACATTTTAAATTTTTGTTTTATTATTTATCTAATTAAAAAAAATTATTTGCATAAAATTTTTTTATATTAATAAATTTTAAATGTCAACTTTAATAATATATCAATTAATTTAAAAATTAATTATCCAATTTAAAGTCATGTTACCGTAACCGAACATATGAATTTAAAAAAAATTTTATCTAATTTTTTTTATTATAATGTTATAATTATTTAATCACAACAAAAATACATATAAAAATTTACTATTTATAAATATATGCTCAATATAAAATTTTAAAAATTTTATATAATTCTAATTAATCAATTACAATACAATAAATTATACATGATACATTTCCATAAATTTAGGATCGAAACAACTATTTTTATACTTTTATAATGATGTTTCAAATTGATCATAGATTTACAGTCACATCAATTTCATAGTTCCATGTTACCAGCCTGTAAAACCGCAGGAAAAAAAAAAAAAGGAAATTCTAGAAAAATGAAGATGCCATTGAGCTAGAATTCGGCTCAATTAAATTTTAGTCAACACTTCACACTTCATTGCGTAAATACTACTTCTCACCCTCATTCACACTTCTCCTGTTTCATTGTTTGTTTGCAGTATATTTTCTCACTAACTCTAATTTCCCACCTTTTCTTCTCCACCGCTGCTCTGTATATATTATATAAAATAAGATTTCCATACGCATTCCAGTTCTTTGTAGTACTTTAAGTCTACATGATTATCAATTTACAGCTATATCAATCCAAAATTTGTGTTAAGGATACCCTCAGGTAGAGGGTAAATTGATTTTTTTTAATTAAAAATTATTGATTTCTACATCTTGACCTTCAGCTCGGAGTTTGAAATCAACAATTTACATTTCTTGGAATTTTGAAATTTAACCCTTCCCTAGATTTAATTATATGCAATTGAGAAAGTAGCTGGAGAAACCAGTTCAGAACTTCAGATCATGGATTCTTTAGTGTGAAACAATGGAAACTGATGACTTAATAGAAAAGACAAGTTGCCTTAAAGTGGTTGTCCTAGAGGACCCGATAAATGAAGGGAAATATAAATTTTGGACATGTTGGAATGACAAACGAGACCTTTCTTATTAGGTCTATTCATTTTCTGTTCTATCAATCAGCATTTGGATCGTGTTACCCTCTCTCTACCTTTTTTTTTCCAACCATGTGAAACTTTTCAGAGCCCACTCACTTGGGTTATTATTATTATTATTTTTAATTTTAAACCTTTAACTTTTGGAAACAATTGATTCAGTCCTTCCGACCACGCTTGTCTCTCTGTTACAGTCCTTCCAACAACCCAATCAAATTCAACATGTTGGGATCCATCTCTTTTTAATGTTTTTTTTTTTTTTTCACATATTAAAATCTCAATTGGAAAAGAGTTTTAAAGAGTTTAGTAGCATTTGATGGTGAAGACATAAGCAGAGAAATGTCCATGTTTCATTAATGATAAAGTTAGAAATCTGCTGATATATTCCCATCTGCTTGAGAATGGGCAAAATTTAATTAGTTTCATGAGTGAAATTTAGTTAACGGAAGTTGAAAAGAGATAAGCTGCTGAAGTGAGATTTAAGGCACCAGAAAAATCATGTTCTTTCTGTACAAAAGCCATAAGTGGTGAGATACAGATACTGTCAAAAGCTCAATTCCCACCACACCCTCGTCAGTCTTCTCATTCCATTTAACCTTACTCCATTTCTGTTTTTACCTTTTTTTTTTTGGTATCTTTTAGAATGTGAAAACGTGTTAAAGGGCAATGCAAAATGGTAATGCAGTATTTACAGCAGAGAAATTGTAAATATCCGCAACGAAAGATCAATGATGAGGGGTTCATTAAAAGGATCCCCATCACATTTAGTGAAGGGTAATGAATTGAGGGACTCCCATCTACAATTCACATCCTCTAATCCCTGGCTTTCCTCTCTTTAAACTCCTTTTAAAGCTTAATAAACAAAACCCACCCTCTCAACCACCTTAAGCAATAGACAAACTGCCCACCTCCCCCAAAGCGAAACCTAAAAAGAGTGAAAAACAGCCCACTCTATCCCAAACCCAAACCCTGCCACTGCAAAGAAACGAAAAATCCCAGCTTTTGCTGTTCCTCCTTTAATCACTATCCCCTTCCTTCAAAACAAACCCCCCAAAAGACCCACACCGACCAGACAAGAAAGAAAAACAGGAAAAAAAAATCGTTTGTTTGTTTCTTTCAGTGTTTTCAACTTTCAAGTGTTCAAAATTGAATCTTTGGAAAGAGAAAAAATCTGATCTTTTAAGCGCTATCAAATGTGGTGGCCGTGGGGTAACAAAAAAACGCCGGTGCGGATTCATGACTCGTCATCCTCTTTCTCTTGCTCTTCCTTCAAAGATATCCAACGCCTTTGCGCAGAGGATTCTTCTTCTGCTATCTCATTCGCTGCCAAAAGAACCGCCAATGTCTTCCACCGTGTCCGAATCGCCAACTCCCTTATCCGTTCCTGGGCCCCCACCCGCTCCGAGTCGCGGACCGAAACCAATGGGAAAATCTTGGATTCGGTTACGGATCGCTCCATTTCAATCCCGGACGCCGACAAGCAAATTGTGGTTTACTTCACGAGCCTCCGCGTGGTTCGATCGACATTTGAGGACTGCAAGACCGTTCGATCGATCCTCCGAGGATTCCGAGTCTCGATCGACGAACGAGATCTGTCGATGGACTCTGGGTTCTTAAACGAATTACAAGGGATCCTCGGTAAAAGGAAGTTGACTTTGCCGAGGGTTTTCATTGGAGGGAGATACATGGGAGGGGCAGAGGAGATCAAACAGCTACACGAGACAGGCGAGCTCAAGATGTTCGTGGAAGGATTGCCTGCAGCTGAACCCGGCACCTGTGACGTTTGCGGCGGTTACAGGTTCGTCCTGTGCAACGAATGTAATGGTAGCCGTAAATTGTACACTGAAAAATCTGGTTTCAAGACTTGTACGGCCTGCAACGAAAATGGCCTAATCAGGTGCCTTTCTTGCTCCTGTGCACCCCTCTGAAAACAACTTTCTTTTTTACTATAAAAGGGAAAATTTTGGGTTGATTAATTGTAGTTTTTGGTTTTTGTTTTTAATTTTTTTGGGGGTAAGTGGGTGTTGAAAGAATGTGGAGGCCCAAGCAACGGATTTGTTGCTTTAAGGTTGTAAGAGCTGACCTTTTTTTTTTTTTTTACTTTGTAGCTTTAGGTAGTGAACATTGAAAAGGAATATAGTAGGATTTAGCAGTCTTAAGCTTGTGTAACTGTAATTGTACTGTTAATGGGTAGATTTTTTTTTTCTATGGATGATGAACAAATAATTTGTTAAGGTTTTCTGTTGTATTTGCTGTTGATATACTTGATGACGGAGAGAGTTTTTTCTTTACTAAATTCGTAAATTCCTTTTTTTTTTTTTACCTTTGCTTACCACTGATGTCGACTTGGCCTGTTGGATTTTTGTAGTCATTCGGTAGATTCTTGTTATTACCTTGCTTGAACACGGAAAAAATCTTTTCAATGTTGTTGACTCTGTAAGAAAAATAAGGCAATAGGAAATGTTTTGCAGTTTCTCCTCTGTTTTTGCGTTACATGGGGAAAAAATCTTAAGCAGTTACGAGAGGGAAGTTAAAAAAATAAAAAGGTTTCCATCTTGTTCTTGAGATTATTTTCATAATGTAGTAGGCTTGACAGTAACAATAATGTAGTCAATGAGGAGATGAAATCTGGGTTTTTTTAAAGCATAGATTGGTTGTTCCTGAATTAATTGCCTTTTTTAGGGCTCTTAATTATTTTCCAAGGCTTTAATTATACCAGTTTAAACTTGACTGGCAAGTGTCAAGTTGAAGAGCTGAATATGAAAGCAACTACTATCTTATACAATTATACTTTAAACGTTCATCCCACGCTGTTGAGCTTGGATCCAGGATTCACAGGCAATTTCAGACCTTAATCTGTTTGCGCTTGGTGTCTAACTTGTTACATTGCTCTTATCGATGCACCATAACAGAGTAATTTGATGAAACTTAGCCTTCGAGGATTAGTTTTGAATCCATATGCATCTGTTTTATGATCAACAACAATGCTTTCCTCAAAAGAAAAGAGATCTCATTTTCCTGGCCTTCTAAACCAGGAAAGAACCATTACTCTGACCACGCGTCAGTCCCTGAGTGAGGCAAACAAAGATGCATTAAACTAAAAAAAGATTTTACATATCGATGGTGCATTAAACTATCAGTCCTGAAGTGAAAATAACATAAACAGTAGTAACCGGAGGCCAGAATTGCAGCCATATGAGGGCTAGAATATGCGTCTGTAACTCATGTACAACGTTACCTAACCACGTGACAGCCCTTGAAAATGAAAAGTTTCAGAAAACTTAAGAATGATGGAGGAATACAACACATAAGACAATTTTTTTATCTTCCCCATGAACGGCTGATGGAAGCAAATTCTTGCTTGATATGCAATTGTATGTATCTGTCATGACAAAAAGGGATGGTAGGTAACAATGATCCTGCTACCTAAAAATCAACAGGTTTCTAAGATAAAGCTAGAAAATGTTTAATCATTTCTTCATAATAGAAAGAAATCATAGGTCATAAATGGTAAGATTACAGAACAAGAATCAAAGCTAGAATTACATTACATATCCATGAAGACTGTGTTATGCCCTTCAACCAACTACTTTGTTTCTCTGTTCAATGGCATATATATAATGGTTGGAGGAAAAATGAATATATTAACTGGCCATGATGTTATGCTAAATAATCATTAAGAAATTTGCATTAAAAATGAATGTTTTGACAGGGCAGTGATCATTATTTAGAAGAAACTTTGATTTGGATTTGTGTGAAAGAATCAAAGAAATCACCACCCTTCATTACTTTAATCTAAATTTGAGATAGGTTTGCTGCTTTTCAGACACGTCAATATTAAAATCATAATTGATAATTCTTTGATAGAGATTTTGATGTAAAAGGATACTCTAATCTCTCTATTCAATTATTAAAGGAAACTTAAAAAAGTACGATATAATGTAGCCTGTATCTTAGGACTTACTTGAACATCAATTTTGTTTTTGACTTGAGCAGAAGAACATTTGACAAGGACTATTGCATGACTACAACCAATACCAATATTCCGAATAAAGAGGATAGATCAGAAGCTGCCAAAGAAGTAAGAGGAATTTAATGGGAACTTATATGGAATAGAAGTATAGAGAAAGTGTCTATCTATATCGACAATGTGCGGAATTTTTATGATTTTGTTGTTTTCTCCATCTTCATCTGTTCCTGGTGCTTGATCATGGCTCTATATAGCACAGCTTCCTTGTCCAAGAAAAAGAACACCAATCTCATTCTACAATGACATCCAATATGATGCAAAAGGAGTTCCAACCTTGTTGGCCAACTTACAATCCAATAGACTCACCCCTTGAAGTAGGATTCTATTTGCAGAAATGGATCCCCGAGTGAGCAGTTTTAAGTTCTCCACTTCATCAGTATCCATTGAAGATTTCTCTGACATTTTTTCTTCTATGCTGTTATCTTCAAATCTATATGGCAGTGAAACATGTAGTTGCCCCTTTTTTGGCAATCATTTTGCCAGGCATCCTGATTCTTACTATTTATCAGTTAAACTCTTCATTCTTACTATTTATCAGTCAAACTGATTTAATCTCTCCATCTCACTTTATTTATTTATTTATTTAGTAATTACAAAAGTATAACAAGAATCGATTGTTTGCAAACTTTGAACCGTAGATTTACTATTGCTAGCAATACATTTATCCACTTTTTGCTTCAAACTTTTTCTCAAATATTCTAATTTGAAACTTTGGTTTTCAAGTTGCATTTCCGAAGAACTAAATCGACTAGGTTGGCAAGCTGTTTTAGAAGGAGAGCCTTGTTGAGCTCCGTATCGGCAGATTACGATCCACTCCTTTCTGGGTTTTCTCCTATCCAAGAAGGCCCATTTAAATCGGCAAGGTTCACGACATATTTTCTAGATTAGATTTAGGCCTGGCCTTTTAGATTTTAGCCAATTAATAGCAATAAGCCAGCGGAGCAGCGACATGAAATGTCGTCACATCAGCACAATTTTTACATAAAGACAAAATCTCACAGCTAGAAAAGGTCGTATGTCGGAAAAAAAAAAAAAAAAAGGTCCTATGGCATTGTCTCTTGCCCTAGGGGACGTTGTCTTGTCTCTTTTAGAAGGTGACCAAAACGAGCCCACTTCAGGTCATGAGTCCGATTCTACTCATAAACCAACACCTAGAAGATTCAAGTGATTATGGTCCACAAACCAGACAATTCCACAAAGCTAGTGTGGTATTGGTCCAGCCCCTGACCCCTCCATGTGTAATCATAATTTAGAAATGCAGAGCCATACCAAACTTTTTTTTTTTTATCATTCAAAGTACAGAATCTGACATTAAAAGAAAAAAAAAAATCGAATTTCAATTTTGATATATATTTTTTAAATTGTATGGATCATTAAATCAAACAGTTAAAGATTATACCACATTTTTTTTTTCGTTAACTATTACTTCAAAATCATTGCCATTACCGTCCAAACATAAATGAACAGATTGTTCTTGGTTTTTGTATGGTGGACAGTCAATTTCTTGGCATGTTTAAGTGTCGTCCACAGTGGGTCGTGTTCCAAATGGCTTCTTATCACGCTCCAATGAACTCATTGAATCTTGGAGTTAGCTGTGTTAACTTTTAAACATTTACGTAAAGGGTATTGCCATTAAATTTCCAAAGTCCTAACCATAGAATATTCAAAGTAATAATTCAAAATCTTAGAAGAAATTAAAGATATTCACATCTTTAGCTAAAATCCTCACTTCCATGATTTTTTTTTTCCCATTTTACTGTCCTTAGCATTTGTCACATTCTTAAAGATAGCTGCTCTTTTCCAATTTCCAAATAAAAAAGTAAAGATAGGGGGTCATTGTGTCTTAAGAAGCATGCCTGTGCCCGTGATCAATAATCTCCTCCTCGCTAGAAATAAATAAAAATAAAAGTCACAGTTAAGGGTGCATTTATCAGAAATCAAAAAGCACATTTACAGCAATTGCGAAGTAACACTGACCTTTCAAATCATATTCATAGAAGCTTACACATCATTTTCTGTCTCTCATCTTACATACTACGAAAACTGTACCCCTTCCCAACCTTTGGAACTTACCTTCAAAGTCATGTTCTCCACACTCCAATCACAATTCCATCATGTAGCATTAAATTATTACCAGACAAATATACATCTTTTACATGTCAGTATCTTATTTTTTACTCTTTTTCATCTATTTTGGAAGTTGATTGTTTTATTTTATCTGCCTGGCAACACATACACAAGTGGGGTATGAAATAGTATACACATAATATTATTTGGTGACCCACCACCCTCCAATACTTGAGAAACTTTTGTTGAATAAATTATTGATCCTAATTTTTCTTCTAATGGCTTGTCCTGTGCAGGCCAGAATTGAACTGTTTTTTGGCTTGTGATGAAAACGACTATTTCAACAGATGACAGACAAGTTGGAAATGTAAATGAAGTTGGCATTTAAGTGATCCATTCAAGTTGGCCCTTTGTACCAGTCCTGAGATCAGGGTCAATGAAGTTGGTTTTGTTTCAGACAGCGAAGCATGGGCTCTACATTTCCTAAATTTTGGCTTAGATTTTTTGGAAACCTTTACCTGTCAGAAGGCGGCAAGAAATTGGAGTAATCTGGGATGATTTTGTTTAGTCTATGATGAGGATTTCCTGTATCTGACTTGTTAAAAACATGTGGCATAAATAAATGTTACGGTAAACCTTACATATTAATTTAAGGATTGTTTGATTGTCTCAAATCTATTGTATTTTACATAAAAAACAATCCCTTTTTATCTTGAGGTGCTCAGAAAGCAGAAGGTGTCAATAGTTTTCTTCTCATCATCAGTTACTGTTTCTTGGAAATTCACTATGATTAAAACCTTGATTTGGCTATCATACAAGTCAGAAGAAATTAAACCATATTTGATCTAATAAAAGTCTAGTATTACGAAACCCAGTTCCTTATTAAAGATCATTACTCAAATACTGAAACCTATGAACATTTTGAAAGGAAACGATCAGAGATCAACGACCCCCATAGCCATGGTAATCAAATGAACGGCAAAGATTCGGTTTCTCGAACCCCCATATGTACGGATGTACCTTAAGCCTTTGATTCGTGCTATAGTTGAGTTGTCGCATTTGGAAATATTCTCCAATAATTTTCTATCACCTTCTTTAATCTTCAAAAATACTACAGTAAGTTTTATTTTTAGTTACAAAGGCCCGTGACAGAATTTTCAGCATGTGAGGCGCACGTGGGGAGATTTCATAGGACGGCGCTATAAATATAGAAAGAGAGGAGAGAGTCAAATCCACCAACAAGCTGACACATCTGACCACCAACGTTGGTGAATCGCCGAAGAAGACTAAACCCAGTTTCAGAACAGAACCCGAAATTACATTTTCTTTTCTTTTTTCTTTGTCTCCGTTAAGACCGTGAGTTCTGTCTCCATATCTTGCTCTTCTCTACACCATTTTCATATATTCTTAGATAAGTTTAGTCGGTTTTAACTTATATAAAAAAAAAAAAAATCGCCGCTGGTAATATGTTTGAGTCTCTCTTTCTTCTCAAAGGTTGATAGAAAAAGCTCGAAAATTTTATTCTTGGAGATGGATGGACGGTGGGGATTCAAGTGGTTCAAGTTCAGGGTGGTGTTAATTCTGGTCTTATCACTGTTTGATCAGAATATGAGTTTTCCCTTGTCTTTGAACAGTGAAGGTATATACCATGGCTAGCTTTGCATGTTTGTACATTTTCTTCAAGCATTAAACAGATTTTCATCTTTATATATGTTTGCAGGTTTGGCTCTGTTGAGGTTGAGAGAGAGAGTGGTGAGCGACCCTTTTGGTGCTTTGTCGAACTGGAAAGGAAATGATGGAGAGATTGATCCATGTTCTTGGTTTGGGGTCGAGTGCTCCTATGGAAAAGTAGTCATTTTGTGAGTTTCTCTCTTCTACATTTTCTCACTCTTTCTTTTTATTATACAAATTAAGAAGTGTTCTGTCTGAAAATCAAGAAAGAAATATGTTCACAATTGTGGTATAATTATACAAATTAAAGGCCTTATTCTTTTATCTCAGTAGTTAATGTTCTGGATAATTGTCTGCCATTGTACTTTGTAAACTATGCTGTCTTCAAATGAAGCTTGTTCTGATTGTAAATGTTAGTACTAGAGTACCTAGTAATTTACAGTTTCGGTTGTATGAAAATATTGGGAATTCCTTTTGTATGTGGTAGAGGTCATGTCAGATTCTATTCTTGGTGCACTGCTTAACAATTTTAAGACATGCAGTGTCAATTACTGAATTTGGCTCTTGATAGAAGAAAAGGGGGTTCTTTTTTGATTGTGAGAGTGATTTTCTCTGTAGTGATATGGAGGGTTTGGTTGTTGTCTGATGTTGAAGTTGTTTATCAAGAATTGCATTTTATTTAAAGCTTGACATTGATAAGACAACCAACAGTTTAATGCTCTATGTGATGTTCTTATTTGAGGTATTTGAAAATAATATATGTCTTACCTGGCTTTTCTCTCCATGGTTTTTCTGTAGAAGTCTCATGTTTTTCACCGTATTAATGAAGTGATTCCAAATACAATTTGTAGTTAATTAGATGGTAATCCTGAAGTCAGAGCTATGCTTCTTGCAGAAATTTGAAAGGTCTTTGCCTTGTTGGGAACCTGGGACCTGAAGTTGGGAACCTGGGGCATTTAAAATCTATGTAAGTTTATCATCAATGATTTATAGTTTGACTAATCTTCTTTATCTCATTCATTTTCTTAGTTCTGATTTCTATCTAATGCCGCTGCAGTATATTGCGCAACAATTCTTTCTCTGGAAGCATTCCTAAAGAAATTTGGGAATTGAAGGAGCTGGAGGTGTTGGATTTAGGATATAATAACTTTAGTGGACCATTTCCATCAGATTTTGGCAATAATCTTTCCCTAACAACAATGTAAGATCCTCTTTTCAAGTTGTTTATATTCAGTTTTTACTCTATTGGAGCCTTTATTTAGTCCCTTTTTCTCCAATTTCTTGCAGTTTACTCGACAACAATGAGTTTCTTGGCAGCCTAGCACCTGAATTACATGAGGTTAAGATGCTTTCTGAATTTCAGGTAGATGAGAATCACCTCACTAATGCTGCCACAAGACTGTCTTGTAAAAGCAGAAGTTTTCCTTGGTAAGCAATTAAAATGGACATAATATCTCCATTTCCTTTCAGTAATCTTTTGATGCATTCATAGGACCATCTTAAAACTTTGTAAGAGAAAGAAGGTATTAGTGTTCTAAATGCAACTATACAGGAACTAAGAAATTAACTTATTGAGAGAAAGAAGATGATGGTTACGACATTACTTTCAAAAGATATTGCATCTTTCCTTTTTCATTAACCTTTGGAAAAATAACCTTAAGTCTTGTCTATAACAACTCTAGACTTACCTCATTCTGTCAACCAAGGCCAAAAAAATTTGAGCGGAAATCCAATAGGTAAGCAGATAAAGATGCCCTCCCGAAAAATGTGAGCAAGAATATTCCTTCATCTATTGAACAATTACAGGTAATTATACTTCATTGTTCATTGCTACAAGAAATCATTAATCTTAATTGAAATCATGAAAGGTTAAGGAACCATGCACAGAGAAGAAGCCAAGAGTTTTGAGGCTTATAGGATGTGTCTCCCTGTAATTCTATCTTTAATGGCTTCAATCGAGAAGTTAAATCAGGCTCTCATACCCTTTTATATTGAGGAAGTTTTTGGTTTGAATGGTCTTGCTGGCCATAAATTTTGTTAGAGTATTAGCCATTTGCTTCATGATATCTTCTCATTGTTAGGAACATTGCCCAGCCGGGAGATGTAGCTCATGGGAGGCGGCTGCATCAGGTGGTAGATCCCTCAAATGCACTCAAAGCCAATGAAAGAGATTCCCAACTGTCACTTTCACCTTCACTTGCGCCTAATCATCTGTCTTCACCATCAGAATCCTCATTTTTGCCTTCAATGTCACCTTCACCATCACCATCGTCTCCATCTCTATCTCCCTTGGGGTCACCATTTTTGCCTCCAGCAGCACCCCCCTCCGGTATCTTTTTTACTCCTTCACCTTCACCTGCATTAGCACCGACTCCAGCTTCACAACCTCCTGTAGATCCACCAGTATTTATCTCTGAACCACCACAATCACACAGTGTCCCAACTGATTCCCCTGCTTCAACTCCAAGCCAAATAGCAGATGAGAGTTCTCACACGGAACATCATATGGTTCTAATTTTGGTTGGAAGTATTGGCGGTTCCTTGTTTGTTTTGATTTCAGTCCTTAGCATTATCTTCTTCCGAAGCAGTAAGGAGGGTGCTGTTAAACCCTGGGCCACAGGATTAAGTGGGCAGCTGCAGAAGGCATTTGTAACAGGTATGTTTCCTCAGTTTCAGAATACTCTCCATGCATATCCAAGTGTCTTGGACCCAGTTAAAGTTTCTAAAAGTTCATGCAGACCAAAAAGTACTCTTTTAGCAATTTATATCAAATTTTGTGCAACTCAAAATTCTGGATTAAAATTTATCCTTTGTGAAACAAAGATGGAGTTTTTCGACCTCCATCTGTATCAGCTTAGTCAACAGATTTTCATTCTCCTATATTGATGTCTGTATTTCAGGTGTACCAAAGCTCAAGCGATCAGAACTTGAAGCTGCTTGTGAGGATTTCAGCAATATAATTGGCTCTTTTTCTGATGGCACTGTCTATAAGGGGACTTTGTCTAGTGGGGTTGAAATAGCTGTGACCTCGACTGCTGTTGCATCTCATGAAGTCTGGTCAAAGAATTTAGAAACACAATTTAGAAAGAAGGTATTGCGATTTCATTAATCACTACAGTCTTAAACACTATTTAGACCATGCTTAACATCAATTTATTCATTCTTTCAGATAGACACATTGTCTAAAGTAAACCACAAGAATTTTGTGAACCTCATTGGCTATTGCGAAGAAAATGTGCCTTTCACAAGAATGATGGTTTTTGAGTATGCTCCTAATGGAACACTCTTTGAGCATCTACATGGTAAGTCCTTTAACTTTTAATCTGTAGGATAAGAAGATTGTTTATTAATTGATGCCAAATGATGTATGGCTTGGATGATGCTGAATTGTGGATTTCTTGCAGTACAAGAAGCTGAGCACTTGGACTGGGGTATGCGACTAAGAATAGCCATGGGGATAGCTTATTGCCTCGAGCATATGCATCAGCTAACTCCTCCTATAGCCCATAGAAACCTGCAGTCTTGCTCTGTATATCTGACTGAAGACTATGCTGCCAAAATATCTGATTTCAGCTTCTTGAATAATGCTACCGCAGCAAAGGTGGGATCAGCTACCATGGAGCTCTTAGAATCCCCACTAGCAGATGCAGAGAGCAATGTTTACAGCTTTGGCGTAATATTGTTTGAAATGATAACTGGTAGGATCCCATATTCAGTAGACAATGGCTCTCTTGCAGACTGGGCCTCAGACTACTTGCAAAGGGACCGACCTTTGAAAGAAATGGTGGATCCAACTCTCAAATTTTTCCAAGAAGATGAGCCGGAGAAATTATTTGATGTGATTAAAATTTGTGTTCATCCTGATCCAAAAGAGAGACCAACAATGAGAGAAATCACAGCTAAGTTAAAGGAGATCACAGAAATGGGACCTGATGGAGCAACTCCAAAACTATCTCCACTTTGGTGGGCTGAGCTTGAAATCTTGTCTACTGAAGCCAGTTGATCAGTGAAGTTGAAACGTAAATAAATTTGCAGTCTCTTTTCCCTGTCTGTATTGTTGGGCTCCGAAGCTGTGGAGTTTCGGGTAGATTCTGCTTGGTCTAATCTAATGCCTGGTAAAAGGAATGATTTCTTGTATATAATTGAGACAGGAACGAGTTGTGGGGCTCGGTGTGCTGCTACTTCTCCGTTCTTTTCGTTCTTTTTACGCTTTCCTTTTTCCTCATTTGTTTATTCATGTGCTAAAAGTGGTTTGTACAAATTCCAGTATAGCAACTTAGGAGATGAATAAATGTTGATTCTCTTCCCTTTTTCATTTATCCTGTATCAGTACATTTCAAACCATCCAACTCAATAAGATCACTCTTAGCTCCAAAACTCTCCCACTACTCTCTTCTTTGTTAAGCATAAATCAAGTGGCACTGGAGAGCTGTTGCCTGTTGGAAATAGACTGGAACCGAATCATTTGAGGGATAGAAAAGAGAGGAAGAAATGTACTACAAATGGAGGTAGCCACATTGGTAGAAAAGCAGAAGTTTCCCAGAAGGCCTACCTAATTGTATGCAAAAGAAAATTAAGAAGGAAAAATTACAGTAAAAAAAGAGAGATTTAAACCTATTTTACTGTTGTTCATGTACAAGATGAACTAAGAGAGATGACAAGAAGTCCTTCTCGAATGATAAGATATATTCTATGAACTGTATACCAGTTCTTTTTGTAAGCAATGACCAAAGTTACAACAGTCTGTAAACCCTTTAACCTACATTGCTAAATCTCGTGCCAACTATCATGAAGACCTGATTCTGTCGCATAAAACTAAATTCTGGGAAGATGGTGGATAGGCTGCTCGCTCTATTTCCACTATTATTAGTTCCATAACGCTCCTATTGACAAGCAACTCTCTTGGTCTTTTCCTTTTCATTGTCATTTGGCAGCTAGATGCTCACTAGCCCACCATTTCGGAAAGGAAATAAAGCTATGCGAAAGACTCCAAGATTCTTTTCCTTATTACTGACAACTAACTCCCCTAGTTTATCAGAAATGTAACAACAGTGCCTCTCACATTTCTTGTGGATGGCTGGCTCGGCCTCTGGCTCTATTATACAGATCAAGCGTGTCGATATGGTTTGGTTCCAAAGAGAGAGCAGCTTCACAATCACAGAGAGCTGAGCTGAGATCACCCATTGACTCATAAAATGCAGCTCGAAGATGAAGCATTTGCAGGTCAGGCTTGAAAGCTATGGCTTTTGAAAGCTCTTCAACTGCTTCAAGTTCTTTTTGGTCATCCATTAGCACTAATAAAGTAATGCAGTATGTCAGTTCTGATTTTAAATTTCTCAGATGATAAAAATTTGTATTGGAGTAACAAGATTACAATAACAAATAAATAAAAACTAGACCCAATACAAACACATGATTATAGAGAAATTATTCCTTCTGAAATACATCAAAACAAAAAATTAAAACAAGATTATGCTTTCTTGGGACAAAGGAAAACTAAGCTAGTACAAGAGTGATCTCTACAGCAAATCAATTGTATTTGCACCATCTTTACAACATCTCTAGATATGAACTTCATGCCCTTTCTTCTAAAAATCAAGTCATTAAGAAAAAAGAAAACGGTACCTATGGAACTCAGAGAAGAGTTCCATAGAATGATTGATTAATTATACCTAGTTAACCTAAAGAGTGCCAACAATCTATTTCTCAGATTCATAACTAATCTTTCTTTGCAAGTAAGGAGTCAAGTATGCTAGAGTAATCATAAGGAAAAATCTGTCTCTAACCAGAATCAAATTTCAGAAACTGAGAAAAGAAATTAGAAAATTACCAGCTGCCCTGTATCTGTACGGGTATGTTCTAAGTGGATCCAGCTTTGTTGCCATGTTTAGATCATTAATTGCCATCTCACGATCACAATATTCGGACTGCTTTTCATATGCTGAGGCATTATTATGTGCCTTCTCTATCAGTTTGGACATCTCATCATATGCAGCTTTTCGCTGATTTCTTAAAAAATAAATGCGTGCTAACCCCTGATGAGCTCTTGTATGCTTGATTTCAAGGGCATTCATATAGCAGTTTGCAGCTTGATCCAGTTTACCACAATCCACATAGATAGTGCCTAAATTATTGAGTGCCTGCAAAATATCATTATAACAATCAAATAAGTATAATGATGGTAAAATGACAGAGTCCAAGCATAGATTTACTCACTTGTCCTTTTCGAAGACCATCTGAAGGGCATCTAAGGGCTTCCTCCAGAAGTTGAATTACATAAGAAGACGACTCAGGATCCACAGTGGAATCTGCCAAAGTGTATGCTTTCAGGAAAAATGCTTCAAACGACCTCTGAATCAAAATGGACTTCTCAGCTCTTGCAAGAGCTTCTTCACGATGGCCAGTGTCATATAAAATCCATCCTTCATAAACTAACTTTTCATGCTCATAACTAGAAAGATTACGAGCTAATCGCAAACATCGCATAGCAGCCTTCTGACAATTTAGCCTGCAATGATAATGCATATTCAGTATACTTCATCTTATCAAATACAGCAGGATCAAAGCTGAGAAAAACCACATCGCAGAGCAGGAGACTTGAAAAGAAAAATCCATCAGCCCAAAAGAAAACAGAATAAGACATGATACCAATATCCTGTCCACAGGTAGAAGTCTATTATCTTTACAGCACAATTCCCATAAATAGCTTTTGAATTACTATGGATTTCATAAAACAGCCAGATGCCAATTTTGAAAACAGAAAGATTCTAGAAATGCAACAACCTTATTAAAAATCCATAGACAGAATAAAGATTGCAGCCAAATAAATAAAAACTTGATAGCAAAAAGCTTACCTCAAAAGAAGCAGAGATTGCCGAAATCTAAGCAGGATTTTTCCAGGATCATTAACCAGCATCTGGTGAATGACAGCCAAAGAGCCAATATCATCTACACAAGACCATCGATCATAAAGTTGCATCCAGCAGTCAGCTTGACATCCCTGCTGAATCTTATGGTTCAGGAGCTCAATCAAATCATCCCCGCTAACTTGCTCATTGAACATTCTGTAATTTGGCTCCAAAGTTAACATTGCTCTGACATCTCTCAAAGCACTTCCATAATCCTCAATTGCTATGAAGAACCAAGCTCGCAATTCTAGGCATTCAGGTGCAAGCTTGAATCCAATGATTCTGTCAATCTCTGAAATAGCAGCCCTAGTTTGCTTCTCCTCTGCCTTTGAGACTGCTCTATATTTATACGGGAATGAAAGGGTGGGATCCAATTCAGTTGCAGTGTTCAAATCAGCAATCTTATCCTTCCCAACATTATACAAAGATCGTTCCTGATACATCCACCCAACTGCTTTATGCTCAGAGATAAGTGAGCTCATCAACCTATAGGCTGAATACTGTTGCCCTTGCTTGTACTTGCATCTTGCCATACCAGCTAATGAATAAACATGACCTGCCTCGGTAGCTGCTTCAAAACAACATTGAGCATTTTCGTACTCTTTCCTCCCAAGCAACACACAACCCAGTTGATGCAAAGCTAGAGCCTTCTGCCACTTTTCTGCAGCACATTCTCTCAATCTTTCCAACAACATCACTGTTGCATTTGACAGCATATTCTCTTCCATAGCCACCTGGCTTAGGAAATAATACAAGAAGAAAGAAGCATGCCCTGCTGATGCCAATCTCTCCCTTGCCTCAAAGCCACAAAATATTTTCATCACTTTGGGGTTATAAAGAGAACTTGGGAGCTCTCTTAGAAAAACCTGCAAACATGAAGCTACTAGAAAATTTGCCCTTTCTTCTAACCCATATTCAATAAGAAGCAAAGCATCCTCTATACAGCTGACTAAAGAAGCCAAATGAATATCACAAGCAGACTTCATTTCCTCACAACAGAACCTATTTGCAAACGATAAGAGCTCCAATACAATCTCAGGAGAAAACAAGTCTACCATTTTAGTCCTACTGTACAAATCCACAGCTCTCATTCCCTCTACAGAAATATCATTTTGTGAAAAATCAATTTTATTACATTTTGACTCCATGAAACTCCCATATAACATAGCCTTAAACGGGCTTGAAAGTGAAGCAATTTTAAATCGAACACAATTAATCTCCTCATTGGCAACACAAAAAGAGATGTCACTATCTTCTTCCAATGTCCAAAACTCGTTCCCCTTAGAGATTTGCACAGAACACTCTTGATAACACTTGCAGTGGTCATAAATGGAATTTGGATCATACCCAGATACCAGAGCAGCCTTAGGACATTCAAGAATGAACCTACTGCAATCCATTGGTGATACACCGTCAAGCTCATCTTCTCTCCTCTCATACCTTAACCAAGCTGATAAAACTAACTTGGAGTGCACATCAAAGGCATGTTGCCTCGCAGCACGGAGGCACCTTCTCAGGAACTTAGGATCACCGAGGCTACTCAAAATCGAGTACTGCTCAATGCATATCAATGATTTCTCCGATTCTAAACAAGTTTCGAACCGACGATAAAGATCAGCTAAGGTTTCTACCAACTGAATGGGTTTTAAGTGAGGTTCTATGGGTGGTTCAAGAAGGTCAATTCTAGGGAGTCCAAAAGGAAACAGAGTTTTAGCTCCTGAGACAGAGCAGGCCTTATTGGATTTGAGTTTTGACCCTATAAATTTGACTCTATGATTACTAAGCTTACCGGCTATGGAAGACGAGCCAGCAGTGTTAACAATAGTGGTATCTGGTGGATTCAAGGCATGAACTTGAGTGCTTTTGAATCTTTCTATTAGCTTAAGACCACGCATTTTAATTCAGTACATACCATATGATAGTTTTTCTTCACCTTTTTCAAATAAATTTACAAACTTCTATTGGCATAGAAATATCCAGTCTTTAACTAAAAAATCAACAGAAAGAACAAGAAAGAAAGAGCTTTAAGTAATGTGGTCGTTTACCTCCTGTCTTTGCTCCTTCAAGCAACAGGGAAAGAGAGAGGGGAAGGTCATGCAGTGCAGAAGCTCAACAAAGAAAGAAAATTTTGCAAAAGTGTTACTTTTTGAGTTTCATTTCTCTTTCATTCATAGGATAGATTCTTTTCGACTTTTCTCCCTCCCTTTCTCTCTCTCTCTCTTTCGGATGGAAAACAGTGAGCCTTATTATTATAAAACTTTGGCAGTTTTGGTGTTGGTGTTACCAGAAAGAAAATGGTTGATTTGGTGTCTAACTCCAATGGAAAACAAAGACCCGCTATGGAGCTGGTTCCCACTGGATTATTATTAGGTCGGCATCAGATGAAGATAAGATTTTGGGACCAACTAATCTTGGTCAACTTGGTGCAAATGAGTTGATTTCTTCTAATTTAGGTAACTGAAGCTTTAATTGTTGATTAATTAACATTAAAAAATGGATTAAAGTGGGATATCAAAAGGTTAAGCAGAGGTGGTGGACATTGGGTACCCTTTGGTTCATGTAATATAATATGGTCATGGGTCTCATCAAATACCAAACAGCTCTATAGTTGAGGTTGCTGTTTTCAAATTTCAACGACAATTTCATTCAAAATTTAAGAAGCTTGGTGCTTATCATTTATCACAAGAAATAGAACAATCATGATGATGATAAGAACCCCATCCAAATTAGGTCAGACCTTGTCCATCAAGCTAATGGTTTTCTTAGGAGAAACATCTTTTGACATCATCAAAGCATTGAATTAATTAATGTTTTTCTTTTATTGAGGACTGTCAAATGCTAGGATTGCAATTTGAATAGAGATTAAGCTTCAAATATCATTGCCATCTGAAAAAATAGGCCAATAAATGTGTTAAAGAAGACATTTTTTTTATTTCTTTTAGACTACCATTAAGATTTGAATTTGAGATTCTCAATCTTGAACCCTACATCTATCATATATGTTCTATTTCTTGAGTAAAGTTTGATATTTCTCTGGCAGACACCATTGCTATCAAGAATACATGTTAAACAAAAAATATATATAATATTCTGTAATCACTAATTATAAAAGAATATGAGCTTGGTGTGATTTATTGGTAAACTGTCTAAATCATGGATGGTACCGCATATTTAACCTAAAAAGATAATTTATTCACAAAAGAAAAAATTATTATTAAGATGAAAAGGCATAAACAAATCCATTAGTTTAATCACAAAAAACTCTGAAAGTAGTTGTGCCATGCATATGTGATATGTCAAGACACATGGATAATGATTCTCGAAACAAATGAAAATTGAAAAAAATAAAAAAGAGGTAAACAATGAACCAAATTATTGAAAGTTAGGTAGCCAACAGATCTAAGTAAATCATCTTTTTCATAATTACAGTTCTCTTTCTTCCATGATGAGTTTCTGAAGTTGATTGGCTGAATAAATGAGTTAAGGTTCTGTTGAATATCTCCAATATGTTAATACTTTATAGACATGATTTACAAGTTGCAGTCTATTATGCAAAAAAAGTTGTCTAAAACAGAATATATCCTGGTATGAAAGGAGCATAGTGCCAAGAGAGTATGATCACGTGGCTAGGCCCCCATGTGAGAATTCTGCATCAGCCTGTTTTCTTGCCTGGACATCTTGATTGAGAAAGAGAGAGAGAGGAGCAGGCCAATTTGCATCAAGATTGTGCAAATGTCCATGAACTGTTAAATCAAGATTTTCTGATAAGAATCTTTGCAATATTGATGCTTGTGAATAAGGTATTGTTAAGTTCTATGAAGGAAATCGGAAACCCATATTAATCCTCTCGGCAACAAGGTTGAGAACGTTTCCGGGTGTTCAAAATGCAGCCATATGATGTTACAAGTTCAATATTTTACAAGTTATTTAAAACATTATGTAGTTCTCATTCTAGCCAGTTATGTAGATTTTAAAACATGGAAAAAAAAAAAAGATAGAATTGTTTTATAGGGTAAAATAATGATGTCATGGGCAAAAATTTTGACTTTCCATTCTTATAAGGAGGCGGCGAAAGGATAAGATGGAAAAAGGATGCGGCAGCTAATAGCCCGATAGTAATGCTCGACACTTGACAAACGTATATACAAATGCATCATGTAAGAAGAAGCGAAATCTTTCACTTCCTTGCCAACAGGTGCAGACAAATGAGTAAACAGAGGAGAGGAGCAAGTCGCTTCAGCCAGAGATCAGAGAAACATGAGGGCAAAAAGAAAAAGAATCACGAAGGAGAAAGTTGATTGAAAGCAAAAGAAATATGCTAATATAGTAACATAGGAAAAATTCCGATATCAAGTCATAAACGTGTGATTTTCTAATAGGCTGTCAACACCCTTAATAATGTCTATGTTATTACTCAGTATGGAGGTATAGGCATTATTAGAATAAGAACTGATGGTAACATATTCCTGTGGTTGAGACTTGATAGGGACCAACATCTTTGACAATATATCATTAACAATCCCACACATTACATCAGTAAACTGAAGCTATAAATTAGCTAATGTCAAATTCTATGACAGCATTAATAATGAATGAAAAAAAAAAAAAAATCAAGGACAAATAGCAAAACATAAAATCGTTTACCAAACGGAACCTCGATGTGGTTATTGTATCACTTATTGCTTTTAGGGAAGGCATGGGCTAATCGTAGAAGCACAGAGAGGGAGTAGTGATTTCTTTAAGTGCTTCCAAAATGACAAATAAACATAACAGAGTTTACACAAATAATTAAAAGAAAATAATTCCATTAGATGGCTGTCTCCAAAAGTGGACATAACTGAAGAATTAGTCTTAATGTGAAGAGTGAAAACAGCTTATTCTCGTGTAAATATCATGTTGTGTAACAAGGAATTAATGTAGATTAAATAGTCTCTTTCCTCATTTTATGCTGCAAATAAAGTGAGATAGCTGGAACCAGAACAAATCAGAAGCTGATTATAACATGTCGGACACTAGCAAAATATGTACATGAAGCTCTATTGCAAATACAACACATTCAAGGGATAAGAAGAAGAATGCAAGAACATATCTGTAGGAAGATGCGTAGGCTCATTAGTTACATTGGTGAAAATTCTTTATTACTATGTATACAGTAGCCACAATACATACACGCATTTAAATGACCCCAAGAACAAAATGCTCACCATTTATTTCCAGTGTTCACAGTTGGTCTGCATATTTTCTACTCAGCATCCTATTTGCTCTAGGGCCATCTAAAACTATACAAAATTCCGGTTTATGAAACTCCTATGCTTTGCCAATGAATGCTTGACCCAGAAAGTGTAATTCTAAAAAAAATCAGGGTTCAAGATTTTCATTTCCATTCATCAGCTTTAAAGCATTTTTACAACCCATAGCTTATATTTCTTTATACATAGATACATAAGACAAGGTCCAATCAAACTCGCATAATATAGTCGTTTGCAGAGATTAATATAAGTTTCAATGTTTCCTGGCTGTTGGATCCTTTTCCTCAGTTCATGCAGAACAGCTGCCCTGTCTAAATATTCTGGATATAATCCCAAATCAAGCATTTTAACCACTGTTTCTGCAGCATCACCAATATGCCCTCCCTTAATGTAACCTCTCAATAACCATGATAAAGTTTTCCTCCTACGTTGAGAGCTTGAAACCTCCATTCTAGTAAGCAACCGTGATATGGCATTAGCCTCCTTTTGGGAAGCACAAATAGCTAAAACGATGTCATAAAGGTCTCCATCAGCCTCTTTACCAACAAGCTTCATTTCCCACAGCTGTCTTTCAGCTTCAAGTCCACGACCAGCACATATATACATGGCAAGAAGCCTCTCATGAATCAAACCATAAAGTGAAGAACTTCCTTCTTGAATTGCCCAATTAGAAAGTCTTATTCCATCAGCAAGAAGATCAAATTGGTACTTTTCTATAAGCTCTACATTTTCCATATCAAGTTCAGCAACTAAACCAGACCTTGCAAAACCTTTCAACTTACGCAAGGCTTTTGCAAATTCATTCAGCTCTTTGACTATTGCTGTCATTGCAATGAGGTAGCTGTAAATCTCAGGCTTCAATCCAGATTCCCTAAGGTCTATAACGAATTTGATGGCATCCCTGTAGTTACCCTCGACCTAGCAGAACATAGGTTCATTGATTATTGACACAGAATCAGAAAAAGTATTTACTATCTGTCGTGAGAGATACAATCTGGAATAGCAATAAACCATGAGAGAAATTAAGAACTTGTTTTCAGTGCAGGGTTTAATGAAAAATGACAATGCCCAATTAAGAAACCACAGAATTGATAATCAGAAAAGAAAGATATAACATTAACTGTATGACCTGCACATAAAAAGCATAATGCTCTGACCAAGTATAACATAGTGATCAAAGTAGATTTGCACTGCCTGACCTGACCAACAGTCAAGAAAATAATGAACCTTACGGGCAACTTAAAAATACAAGAAATACTAACAAATAATTAAGCATAAAAGTAGTGGCCATTAATTTCAAGAATATGGAAAAATAAACAAGTTATCAACAATAGTAACAATGAAATAAAATTCAATCAGAAAACAAGAGGCAAATTTGATTCAATAAATTCTCTATTATACAAGAAGAATAACTAATTCAATCTCTAACATACAAACTAACATAGCTGGATATGAATAACCGAAGCTTAATAAAGCATACCATCATCTTCCAAGCAAGATAACCAGTCGGCCCTCCTTTTTGTCCTTCACCATCATCATCTTCATATGAAATTCCCCGTCTCAAAACTTCCTTCAAAAACACAACGGCTCCCTCCTTCTTATCCATCTCCCAATACATTGAAATCACCTTCTCCATCATACTAAAACCTGGTTTCAACCCCACGCAATCCATGTCCACAAGGAGATCAACCACATCCCTAACATCAGCCTCTCCTTCAATCAGCTTCTTGACCCAACGACACATAATTGAAACCATAAGTACCATTGTCTCATTATCAACCTTATTCTCCTTTTTGAGCCACTCAAAGACTTCAAGTGCACACCATGAATCTCTCCCTTCTTGAGAAAAGTAAACTAAAACTAACTGTAACTCTCTTGATGACAACCTATCATTCATTTCTTCAAGAATATCAGAGGGTTCCCTTGCCATTCTCTCTAATTCTTCAATTGCCTCAAAAAAGTCTTCACTCATTTCGTCTTCATCGTCACTCGTTAAATATTGGTCCAATTGCACCGACTTGAACAGCCTAGATACTTTTATTTTTGCTTGTCTTTTCTTAAGAACAAAGCTTGGATTTTGGAAGTTGCAGATCCTCGACGAAATTCTTCTAAGACTATGTTTCGAACTGAAAGTTAGATAAAATTGAGGAGCCAGAAAGCGGTGCTGCTGAAAAGGCAAAGATAATTCAGTCAACGAGGCGAACCGACGAGCAAAGGCCATTTGTTGGCTATGTGAAGCGTTTGGTTGCCTCGACACAAAACCTTTGAACAAGTGAGCTTCGGTTTCCGTAAAATAAAGAAAAACCCAAGTCTAATATTCGTCAAAGAAGATTGAGTGGTCCCTGCCGGAGTCAAAGTTTCCTCTTTTCTTTTATTTTCCTACGATTTCTCGGCATCCAAACAGAAACCCAGGGTGGTTCCAGCCGGAGAAACTGAATGAAAAACGACGACAAAAAAGGAATCCATGAGAACGGAAACAAAGGGTAAAAGATAATAAGATTCTTGCAGTTCAGTTGAAGGGAAAATCTATCGTAATGAAGAAAAGAGGTTGGGAATTGGGCGGGGTTGGTTTGTCAAAAGAGCAGTGCTTTCGAAGGCTGAAGCTCGACTCACCAACTCTCACAGACAAAGCTACAATGATGTCACTTTGTTGAACAGTTCTTGAGTTTACGGCGCGGAGACGTGTCCGAAAAATGACTCCTCACTTCTCAGCTAATTGTTGGCAGGCATCGTTTCTTAGGGATTTGCCTTTTCGTTTTGCTTTATGCGCCCTCCGTTTGGATTTGAGGTCAACAGTCCTTTTCAATTATTTTATCTCTTTTAACAACACTTAGCTAGATTCTTGGTCTCCCTTGTTGGTCTGATTTTGACACTTTTGTCAATTCAAGATCCAATATAAACAACACAGGCCATAACCAGGGCTCAGGGCCAGCTATTTCCTATCGTTTTCTCCCAACCCACAGAGTTGAATGAACCCCTGAAGATTAATAAACATGGGTCCATGGTGGGATTTTGGGCACAGGATAAAGGAAGAAAAAACAAGATCCATAGAGTTTCTTGGGCTAGATCCATCAAATGGATGATGGACTGCCTTTGTTGTATTATGTATATATGATATACCAACCACCATGGCATTATGTATTGATGTTGTCATGACATGCATGCATGATGTTTTATCCAGAGTGGGAATGTGATGGTATGTAGAGAAAGGACAAACATACTCATTCTGGAATATTGGTTTGATCCGCATAAAAAGGGCTACGTATTCTAATGCAGTATATTATATGTTTTTAGGTGACATCCTGCCTTGGCCCTTGGGTTAAAATAATGGGAGATATTGCTAGGAGTTGACCCTGGCTACAGTTGCATTGATCATTTAAGCTTCTCAAGGCTCCATAAGCACATCAAACAAAGAATTTTTCCTGTCTGTTGTTCTTCACATGCAGATCTAGAGACCTCCGTTTGTCTTCCCCCACCAAAAAAACAGGGGCTCTCAATTAGATAAATATATGGCTGAAAGTGGCACGCTTAATTAGAGTCAAATTGGAGGACATAAAATGATTTTTGTCCTCTACATAAAAAAAAAATCCAAATTTCAATGACATAGAAAGTTATTTTATGTGACTCCATCAATGTTTTCTAGACTTTCTTGGATCCAAAATGTTGTATTAAGACTTCAAACCCCTTGCAATTTTGCCGGCTGATTATGGATCATGATCTCTGCATAATAAGTTTCAGTAATGTCATACATATATATTATAAATATAACCTCACAATTGATGAATTATAGTTACCCATCAACAGCTGCAGTTGGCTATCTTGTCACCTATACATGTTGGCCAATATGCCATGTGAAAACTTTACAAGAAGAATCTCGTAAAAAAATCTGCATTTTTCATGCATGGAAGACAACCCCGGAATCACATAAAAACCATCATAAATAAAATTTCGTGCTCAGAGAATCGCGATCATGGAAGCTGTGATGTCCAATATTGATAAGAAAATTGAAGAGCATTGAATCCGATGTAGTGACTGTCAGCGCCATCATATATCATATAATTAACATCATCTTCTGGGGAGAGGCTGAGGAATCTTGGAGAAGTCAAAAAAAAAAAAAAAATACGAACTTTGTTGTTATTAGGAGCGGTCATATGGTAAGGGACAAAGACAAATCCGTGATCACCGACAGCAAGAATCAACAGCACAGTCTTCGCCAACACCCATAACATTTCTGGTTTATAGGGAGGTTAATTATCTCATTGTTTCTTCCGCTAGAAAAACAAATCTTTACCTTTCATTAAGGAATTAAAAAAATAATACAGCATTAAATTTTCTGTCAAAAGAACAATTGTGTTCTTAACAAATGATATTATTTATAGCTAGCTTAGTAAAATTTTATGCACTTTTAACAGATATCCTCTCAGTTGCATTTTTAAATTTATCAAGTATTTGCGTTTAATACATTAAATATTTATATGTATTTTCATTTTTGGTTTATTAGTAATTATATAAAAATTTTTAAGTGAATTTTGTGTAATTTTTTATTAAAAATGATTAAATAAAACCTGACATTGATAATATAAACCAATAAATTAATAAGTTTTATTACGTAAATTAGTGTGCTAATTTTTTTTTTGGCCAGATTAAGTGTGCAAAATTTAATATATTTTTTAAATAAGTATTTAACTTCTATTAAAAATTTAACAGACATTTTATCACTGAACAAGTATTAATCAAATTTAAATTATAGATAATATTTTTAATATTTTTATATTATTATTGATTTTCCTGCTGAATCGTATCAATCTATTCTTTTGAATTTTTTAGTAATGTTTTTATTGCATCATTTTTAATAAAATAACTTCGCAACCTTTCCTTAAAAAATTTTATCTAAATCTTGCCAGCATTTTTTTTTCTTATTTTAAATCTTTCCTTTGCCCCATATACGGCATCTCTGTCATTTACCTTTCTATAGTTTGAATGCATCCATGGAGAGGCATGACATGTATAACTGTCATCATCATCCTCAGAATAAGATCTGGGTCCGCTATACATGTATGTAGAGAACTATTTTCCACCAAGGATGGGTGTTAAGGTTTGTGCTTTCCACTTGGATTAGTTTGGAAAACCTGCTTTATACTCTTCAAAGTTATGGAAGTTTCTTTATCACAGTACTATTTGAAGAAAAGAAGTGGAGGAATTATCAATACCTGTTTGATCACTTGTACTTGAATTATCTTAGTATTTCTTTCACAAGGCATCCATCTCGCAAGAATCATGATCATGAAAAAGAATCTATTCAACATGAATGAAGATGAGGAAGCTGATGATGAAAGTAAGACAAAAAATAGTGCACGCTCGAGCAATAGCATAGTTGAAGAAGGTGAGCAAAAGGCAAGTTCAACTGGGGTGCGGCCATATGTAAGATCAAAGGTGCCTAGGCTGCGATGGACCCCTGAACTTCATCTTTGTTTTGTTCGAGCAGTGGAGAGACTTGGCGGTCAGGAGAGTAAGATCCTTGAATCTCTTTTGTACATATATACTACTTTTCAAACTATTTCCTGGGGGATTGACTTCATACATTCAAGATCCTATAAGAAGAAAACATATCATATTCAATTATTTTGATATAATCTTTGGTACTGTAGGAGCAACTCCAAAACTGGTCTTGCAACAAATGAACATCAAGGGTCTTAGTATTACTCATGTCAAGAGTCATTTGCAGGTAATTTGTTAAAGTTTCAAATATTAAATTCTTTAAAAGAAGATAGCACAGAATTGTAATTGTTCTAATTTCAATTTTGGTTATTGAGCATATAGATGTATCGGAGCAAGAAGATAGATAATCAGGGTCAAGGTACTACTGTTGACCATACAAAAATGTGTCCTGAATTTATATCTTCAATGTCTAAAACTTAAAACTACTACCTTTTCATATGGTATGACAGTTACAAACAACAGACATCTTTTGGGAAGTGTAGATCACCTTTCTCGAAATCTTTTGCATCAGTCCATGCTTCATGATCCAAGAGTGATCAGGTATAGATTGATAAAACTGCCTTACTATTTTTGCTTCAACAGATTGAGTTTTTAGTTCTTTTGTAAGCATAACATATCTGTCAACAACATATATAGTGATATTTCACGGAGTACTTTTCGTGGAAATCAAATGTCTGAGCCTTACTTGACGAATTGCGTAAATAGTACTAGAAGGGAAGCTGGTTTTCGTAGTTCAAGCATGAGTGAAGAACTTGTTTCAAACGCAAGGAATGAAGTTTTCTACATGAATAATAACTTCATCTTCAATCAGCAACCTGTCAGGGAAATGGAAGAGTTTCAAGATGAATTACAGTTGCCAGATGATTGTGAAAGCATCCAAACACAAATGCAGCCAATACTAATGCATCCCTCTTTTGCAAATAAATGGCTTGGAAGAGGAGCAGAAAGGCAAATTAGAATAGCCAAAAGAAAAGCTCTCGATGAGGACCTTGATTTGAGCCTGTCACTGAGCACAAAGCTGATGAGGCAAGAAGTGGTTAGGAGAAAGACCTCCAATGAGGAAGAAGAGGCCAGTAGCAATTTGTCTCTTTCTTTATCTTCTCCTTCAAAGACAGAAATGTATTCAGTGAATGTAAACATGGTATCAAAGAGCATTAAGTTGAAAGGAGTTGATTCTACTAGGAATCTTAAACTGGCGAGTACCCTGGATCTGACTATATGAATTAGAGAGAATTCTAGTCAGATCTTGTTGGTACTTGTGCAAGACAAGACATTATTATCATAGATTGGTGTTGGACAGTAAAAGGTAAGGCCAAAGCCTAATTTTCATGATTTATGCCGTCTATTTTCCATGCTCAAATTAAAGCATGTATTTGCAATAAAATTTCAATGGCCTTTACTTCCAGGCCATGATTTCTCTCAGTTTTGTTGTTGTCTCTTTTTCATGCTAACAGTCTACTTAAATAGTTTTATCTCGGAGACCTGATGATACGTTTCTAATACTCCCCATGTTTACTTAGATCAAGTGATTTAGGACTAGGAAGTTTTCAGCAGAGGTTTTAGGGTCTATCCGCATTCTGCATTGCTCTCTTACTGATAAAAAAAATCAAGTACTAGTACTACACGGCTTAGGTGCCTGGTTTATTTCCGAGTATTGATTGTTCGAGAGGTCAGAAGAATCAAAAGTGTATTAAAATACATACATATAAGCCTCAGGTCTCTGTCGCGAAATATATACATGTAGTCCAAAATGAAATTTCTATGTTTGCTTTTCTCAGCTTTTTTCGTCTTCAAAAACATTTCAGCTTTGTATTGTGTTCCCAAAACCACAGAATGATCCTAGCCCTTTATAATTAAGATTGAAAGTTAAAACACAGAAGAACATGATGATTAAAGATTAGAGAAAGAGAAATAAACCTCAAAACTTAATTTTAAGATGGTCACAAGATTCACTTCACAACTAGCCTTAATACCCTTACAGGGTGCTTTAATATTCCTGGTTAATTAATTATATGCCACATATATAAATTCCACCTTCACTCTATTCAGCGATATTTATCGCATCCATAGTTACAAGCAAACAAAGAAAATCAATGATGTAAATACCAAAAAAAAGAAAATCAATGACGATACATAGTCATATATAGTCCATGAGATTATTCAGCATTGCATAAATAAAACAGTCAGACAACCAGGCAGGCTGAACCATACAAAAAAAAAAACGATTGCAGACAGAACGGTTGAATTAATCATTATTTCATATGAAGTCATTGCGAGGATTTTGATTCTCAAGATTGAAGTTCAGGAGCTGCTCTAGCTCTCCCAAGTTTGAGTTCACAGTTCCTTCCTGGTTTGATTGATTGAAGCTCGGATTTTGCACCTGCCCCAGTCCATATTGGTCGAAGCCCACATTTGTCAGCTGTCCTCGCCCGGTTTCCGAACCAAGCACAGGAATATCTCTAGGGTTTTCCTGTTGCAAGTTAAGTTGGTTCAGCCCGTGGATTTCTGCAGTGTTCTCTCCAGCAGCAACTGCAGAAGAAATAATACATATTTAATGTTAGAAAATATGCATACTTCTATTTGTATATTTTGAACTTCAGCAATTCTAGGGATCACTCTACCAAGAGTTTGTGCTATACACTCCTTTTTTTGTTAAAATAACGAATTAATTGCAATATTGACTGAAATCTAAATAAAATATTAATTAAAATAAAAAATCTAGCATATATGTGTGGATGATTAAATAATATGATATATATATATATTGCCTTAACACTTTATTATTTACTATTTATAATCATTTAAAATTTTAATTATTATTATATGGATTCTTGACCTGTTAATTTACCAATTATAACTTTATATTTGTCCAATAACAATTTATCATATTAAGAAGCATAAATAGTTGAAATAAAAAAGATGAGACAAGTAATTAGTAATACTACTACTTAAAACGTCAACAAATTAAAATTTTGAAGTAAAATTTGGAATTAAAACTACAATTATCCAAAAAAAATTATCAATGTTATGCCTCCAAATGGAATACTAATTTCAGATTTTCAATAGATTCAAAGTTAAACACAAACAAACAAAAAGAAAGTAACTGCACGCAAAGATATCAATCATTCCTCTGTCAACTGCCTTCAAGCATGAGTGACACTTTGACTCCAATCCTGAAGATTTAAAGAGGCCACTGCATTGGCCGGTAGTGCTTTTAAGGTTTTCATTTCGCTTTGATCATAATTTTGCGATTTTTCTTGATATGTTTTTCGTCCTATTCATACAAATTCATTTAAATAGTTTGCACACAGAAAAAAAAAAAATCACCCAAATTAATCCAATTATCCGCTTCCGCCAAATTTTTATTATATTCATTTCAAATTTTGGAAAGGAAATGAGACAAAATTTTTTTTCACCACGTTAATTTAATTATTTTTTGGCCAATAACCATGTTAATTTTATTTTAATATGCATTAATATATATGCAATATGTGTAAAAAAAAAAGAGAAAATAAGAATGATCTAACTAATTTAGGATAAAACTTACATTAAATTCTTTAGATAAAATTTGTGAAATTTTTTCTTAAAAGCGATTTAATAAAAATTTTAATAAAAAATCTAAATCGATAAATTGATAGAGTTTAATGTAGAAATAAAAAATATATAAAAAAATTAAAAATGTTGTTTAAAATTCAAATTTGAGCGATTTTTATTTAATGATAAAAAATTTGTTAATATTTTAACTAAAAATATCTATATAAAAATTTATTAAATTTTTTTCAAAATTTACGTATTTAAATTATGTAATGAGATTTTTTAATTTACTAGTTTTGATTTTTGATTTTAATTTTATTTAATCATTTTAATAAAAAAAAACTTAACAAACTTCACCTAAATAACTTTATCTCAGTTTTTCTCGTTAATTTACCTTGGTTTGAATTGACAAACATTGCCTGTCCAGTTCCAGAATGATTCAGACAAGGATTAACCATTTGCTCTGTCAGTCCATGTTCCCAAACACCCCAACTTGTCTGCGCCAGCATTTTTTGCTGTAGTTGTGTCAAATGCAGTTGCCTCAGCCTATTTACTTCTGCTCTTCTCTCTTCGATCTCAGCTGCATGCATGCCCACAACATAAACAAAGTCATAGTTATATGCATCTCGACCTGTATACCTGGGGGAGATAAGAGAAAACGAGAGTTCGATTGCTTTACCTTCTATGATAATTTTATGGTTAGCGCAAGCAGTCAGACGTTGTTTCAAGTTTTTTCGCTCCATTTCCAGCCAGTGTTTCTTGTTTCTTTCTAGTGCAATTTGAGGGGAGAGCACAGCAATCAGAGTCTGAAAAGTAAGAAAAGGAAAACATGAGGACGAAGCTCTTCGTAGATTGGAGAAATTAGATATGGAGGAAATCTAGATATATATATATATATATATATATATATGTTTACCTCTAAAGATTCCACCTTCTTTTCCATATCACAAACGTATTGAACCTTCTTAACTCTTGATTTCTGAGCAGAAATTCGATTTGAAATGACTCTACAAACAGATAAAAGAAGAGTGATTGAGCAAATGCTCGAATGTTCAGAAAAAAAAAAAAGAATTATACTTTAAAGAAGACAGAATAATCTCACTCACCGTCTAAGCTTTCTGGGGTCCATGTTGAAATCCTGGTTACGACCTTGGCGGACCTGAACACCATTTCCAACCTCAGTTTTGGCAGAATCATCTCCAGCAGAAGTCACGACGGTCAGATTCTGATCAGATGGAGGAAATGGGTTTTGATCTGTCTTGTTGTTATTTTCACCTTTCATGGAAAAAGGATCGGACCCCTGGAAGAAACAGCCAGTTCCTCTGCTGCTGGCCCCAGCAGCACCAACCTGATTCATGAAATAGTGTTTTTGCCAGACATTAAAAGAACTGGGGGCTAGAGGAAGATTTGATGGAGACATGAAGCTGAAAGGTCTGGCATCAATGGAATTCTTAGTCCAGGCTAAGGCAGCTGGCATTTCCTGCTCAGTCATTTTGTTCTTTCCCTCCATGCTTTCAACGCGATTATGTTTCTATCAACCTGAAAAAAGGCAAAACAAACAAGCATTAGGAGAAAGGAATTGAAACCTTACAAAAGAAATTTACTTTCAACTCAAACTAACCCTATAAAGATTTAAGTTCTGAGATTAAGAGGCTTGCCTGGCCTTGTATATATACACATAAACACGGGTAAATTACCATATATGAAATCTACACTGTTGCTCCGCCTGTTAGTGGCCATTTGGTTGATTTAGAACAAAACTGCAGTTAAAAATACCCTTGATTTAAGTTTATCTCACCCAAAATACAAAATTACCCACATAAAAAAAGAGAAAATTGTCCAAGATTAGTATTGAACTAGGATAGTCTAGTAAATTCCGGTAGCATTGCTGAGGTAATTGATGCTCTCATCTCATGAACTTCACTTTTTCTCTCTGACATTCATCCTTTTCTCTAAGAAAGGTAAATAATACCCTTGTTCAATGGTAATTAATTGCAGACCTCATAAGGGGAAAAACATTGCAGCTGTCCCTTAACTACACTAAGTTGAATGCACAAGATAGACACAAGACTCTTGAAACTCAAGTTAGGCCACATTTGGAACCCTAATTAATCATTGTATTACAGGCAATTGGTTAGTAAAAGTATGCCACTTGTATTGCCTTAATAGCTCTAGCTCTTGGAAATATTGTATTTTTTTTCAAAGCATACATATTATACTAGTGAAGTTCCACACA